GATTATATTAATTTAACACAACATTATTAAAGCAATAAAATGCATTAAGTAAAAGTCTATAAAAACAGCCAATGTAGTTTAAAAGAATAAAACATTCTTTTAATGCTGATGAACTGAATGAAGTTTTGCTGAGTGGTTATTTTTCACATTAACATGGATCAGTTATAAAGAGTGTAATCTTCTTTCATGATCTTAGTGGTGTTGCTCTGGAGATGCATTCACAAAAAAGGACTTACAGCCAACTGTGTATTTGTGTATATTATAGTATAAGTGACCCTTATTAGTCCCACAATTTCACCTCTGCATTTAACTCATCTGTGCAGTGAAACACCACATAAACACTGGTGAACACACACACTACGGGGCAGTGAGCACACTTGCCTGTAGCGGTGTGCAGCCCTATCCCCGGCACCCAGGAAGCTTTTGGGGGTTCTGTGTCTTGCTTAACGGCACTTCAGTCACGTCAAGGGATCAAACCAGTGACCTTTCGATCACAAGGCTCCACAAACCTCCAGCCCACGACTGCCCCCAATGACTAAAAAAGCACAATAATAAGGTTGGACACCGTAGCCAAACCGTGACTGATTCAGATTTAGCTTTCATTTTTTGTGAAGCTCTAAGAACCTCTGTAGTGAAGGAAATTCCAGTATGGGCCTTAAATGGGTCAATATGCGTCCTGGGTGATCTAAAGGATGGTGAACAGCGCTAAGTACAGGTGTAAATGGGATACATGCAAGATAGATGTAAATACCAGGTGTGAACAGGGCTAAAGCCACTGTTCATGAATTTATGAATGTAAATTGCCTTTATTGTTAGATGATTAGATGTTTATTATTGATCTGTTTCACCAGAACAATCTATGAATTTTCAGCATTGATAGATCATATTCTTTAAAAAATCTAAAGTAACTATCTAATGTAACAACAGCACTAAAAAAAATATCACATTAAAGGAAAAAAATTAATCAGCATTTAAGTACAAAGCAGTCTACAATAACAGAATTGAAAATTACTCGCCTTCTATTGTCCAGGGGCTCCATTCTGTCAAGAACAGTTAACCTCTCCATGAAGCAGTCACTCCCCTCAGATGCACAGCTGGGTGACTCTGGCTTTTCTACCACTGTACTGTAAGAGAAAAAAATTAAGAGTTATGTGGAACTTTTCATTGCTCCATGCGTTCCCTGGATGTTGGTACCATATCATATGTCAGACCAATCTCTATGCACAGTTCACTCAGTTTTAATTAGGTATGTTGTGCTTCTTTTTTTTTTGATCCAAGTCCTTAAACATTGAGTATCTGCATATACAGAGTCATACTACCATTTGTGTTTTCACAGAAAACAAAAATCAAAATAATAATAAAATTCAGTTTATGATACACTTTTCTTAAACACAACGTGCCACAAACCAATAGATAAAGCAGTATAGAACAAAATATAAAACAATATATCAACTTTCAGTGGCCTTTTCTGCTTTGTTCAGTAAAAGAGCATTTTCTTGAGCAGAAATAATAGCGTCCTCTAGTCTTTTGTCACTGCCAATGCCACATTGGTGTCAGAAGTGGGGTATCGCCACCAAATTAGAAGACATTGAGCAGTGGATCTGCAAACTCAATGGCGAAAGGAACCAACGACAGTGCTCTGTGCATAAGAGTGCCAAGCGTTATGTCTGCCCCCTTTCGCCGTCTCCGTTCTGGTGGTTGAAGTTCTGTAGCAGCAGAGTGGAGGAGCAGAAGCAGCAGCTGTGGGATCTCCTGCACGATTACAGTGACAACTTCACAGCTATGGAGGAAGACTGTACAAAAAAGAACTTGGTGCAACCCAGCATTAACACTGGCGATCCTGCTCCAACTTGACTCCGCCTTCACCAACGTCCTGAGAAAGAGACCATGGCGCAATGATTAACCCCTGGAGTTTTTGGAAAAGCTGCTGAAATGAGATTTTAATTGGCTCTGTTGCTGAGTTTGACAAAATGGCAGGTAAAATGCTCGCTCACCCCTGAGATTCTGCTGACCATGGGCTATGATCCACAGTGGAGCGGTGGGTAGTGCTGTCACCTTACAGCAAGAATGGCCTGGGTTCGACTCCCAGCTGGGGAACTAGGGTCCTTTGTGTGTGGAGTTGTGTTCTCCCCTAGGTGTGAGTGTGTGAATGTATATGGCTGACTGCGACCTGTCCAGGGTGTGTCCTGCCTTCTGCCCAATAACTGCTGGTATGGGCTCCCATGACCCAGAAGGATAAGTGGTTTAGAAAATGTGTGTGTGTGTTATTTAACACAGCACATTTTAGTGCATAGCTGTGCGCTCATTTTACACAGCCATGTTAGATGTATGTGGCTGTTTTAAACACAGTGAAAACCCTGGAGCAGCAGATATTATACAGTTTAAGCTTCCTGTTTAAAATAGTCCAACACTGCAGAAATTTAGATAATTTAGCTATATTCTGAAAACACTCCTCGCTGCAGTAGGTTGTGAATAATGTCCGATTATGGCATCTCTGCAACGGTGGAGAAACAAAGGATCGAAACTGGACTGAGCTCATCCAGTTACCAGCTTTCAGTGATCCATTAAAATCTGCTGAGATTGGACTTCCTTAAATTTAACACCTCTTATAGAAAAAAATAACAATCAGACATTTTGTGACCTTAAACCTACTTTAAGACCTTATAACACTTTGAAGGAGCTGTGGGAAGCCTGTATTAGCCATTACAGATTTAATAAATATTAGATCTGTCATTCTTACTGTGTGTCCGTTCTTCCAGCATGGTCTCATAATCATTCCAAACCGTCACAACTGCTGTTGGTTTCATTTGATCCTTCATCTGTGATGTTTCTTGCCTGAGATGGAAGGAGGTGAAGTTAATACGGTTAGCTCGACTTTTGGTTATCAGCCACAATCTAATGGACAGTGTGAACCAAGAATTAGCAACGTTTTTAAGCTCACATTACTGCCTCGTTGCTCAAATCAGATTTTTTGCTCAAATCTCTCTCTCGGTCACGATGGTTCACACTCATTTAGATAAGTGATTCAGATCTGTCATTAATGTGATGAATCGGCATCCTGAAATGACCCTCATGAGCTCATCCTACTCAGTAACGTCAGGTGAATGAATCACGTTCATCATCAGCACAAACTAACGAGCAGAACGAGCTTCGCTGAGAAGATAATTAACTCTGATCAGCTCTCAGCTTCATTATTAGAGCGAGACGAAGGAGAAAAAGGTGAGATGAGCTGCTTTTCCACCGTTTACAGGCTTTAACTTCTGTTCGGCGCTGCTGCCATGGTAACGCTGAATGATGGTGCAGTGGAAAAAAAGCACATGAATTCCGATCTGAGCGTCACATTAAGGTCACATGACCACAAACCAGATACGTATCTGATCTATGACCACATATGAAAGTGGCTCAGGTCTGATTTGAAGAGATCAGATTTGTCTCCACACAGCCCTGAAAACATCAGATCTGAGTCACATTAGGGCAAAAAATCTGATTTGTGCCACTTCAGCCTGGTAATGTGAATCTTTTGTCACAACAACCCTAACGACTGTACTCGCTACTTGGTTTGGGCAAAGATTGAACAAAATTCTCTTATAAGCTCTGCTACTGGTTTTACTCCCTTCCAGTGTGTTCTCAGATTTCAACCGCCTGTTGGTCCATGGACTGGTCTCTCTTCTAATATTCCCGTGGTGCATGAGTGGATGCGACGCAGTGAAAGTCTGGGAAGAGACATAACAGAGAATAGAGGCAGCCCTCTGACATAATAAACAGCAGGCTGATGGTCACCGTGGTGATACTCCCACCTACCAGCCTGGACATCAGGTTTGGCTGTCGACTCAGGACTTTCAGTTTGCTGAGGGAAGTGAAAAGTTAACTCCGAAATACATTCAGTTCAACATGAGAAAATGAATGACATTAATGATAAACTTGATTTGCCCTCTCGTTATCATGTCTCTTGTTCATTTCATGTTTTCCTGCTCAAACCTGTTGTCCCAGGTCCTTTGGGCAAGCCTACGCCCGCTAATGCACCCCCAACTCCAGAGGAGGTTGATGGTCAGTCTATGCTGTACATTGGTGCTGGACTCCAAAACAGGTCAGTGGCAGCACCTGGTCGACAGGGGAGGATATGGCCCTGAGGAGCAGTGCTGGGTGCCTGCTGGGGATATCGTAGACCCTGGACTGATCACAGACTTCGACAGTCCGCACCTGGACAAGTCTGCTTCTCTTTCTTGGGTTCGCCCAAGGAGGCTTTCCCACAGTCCACTCCCTGGTTGTCGTCGGGGGTACTGTCACGCGACCCTCCGACTCCAGGTCACACAAGAACTCCAGATACCTGATGTTGGACTTCCGTAATTCAATCACCGCTCACAATCACCTGAATTCTGATCTGTTGCACTGCTCTGTTTATCCTGTGACCAGTCTTGGTTTAGTTTTTAAGCCCAGGCTTTAGGCTAGTTGCTTTGCAAGGTATTCACTGTTGGCGGAAGACAACCTTGTATCTCTATTTTTATTTTTGACAATTTGAAAACAGCTATTGTCCTTTGTGTGTGAATTTCATGATGAATGGACCAAAAGAAACAGGCCAAAATGACTTGGAATAAAGTCTGATTCCATTGACTTACATTAAAAGTAAAGTATGTTTTTTCCTTTTCCTGTAAAGTTACCATTTTGGAGAAACAAAGTCTTAACGGCGTATTGTTTTCCTAGTAGAACTACTGAGCATTTTCTGATTGTTGTTGTGCCTTCTTGTGTATTCAATCTTGTTTCTGGATTTTCTGACTTTGCCTGTCTGCCTTTTCTCTTTTTTGGATCTGGTTGCCTTTGTTATGTTTGTGCTTCTGTCTTTTGTCTTTTTTGGATTTGACTTAAACCTGTTCACCAACTAAATATTTTTAAGCATGTAGAATCTTAATTATTTGTACTTATAAATAGTAAAATATGTATCAAAACAATTTACATATATTTTATGAAAAAAAAACTAATTAAATTGTCACAATATACTGTGTGTATTATTTATTTATTTATATTTTGGTGGTTTACATATAACATGTTACATACAAATTACTTTTTAAAAACAGTATGTCAAAGTGTGAAATGAAGTTAATACACCAGTTTTTAAAAATAGTTCACAATTGTTATACCAAGTGTTGAAATGAGTTGATATCAATTTTGAAAATGTTTACAATTCAGTGTTATACAAGTATTTAAATGAGTTGTTATACCAATAATAAAATCAAGTTCAAAATTCCTGATGTTACAGAACATTAGACATTGAAATCATATTGATGTACCAACACTTCAAAGCCACCAATCCTATGGTATAGCAACGCTCACCCAACTCCGTCAGTGTGGAGACAATACTTCAGAATTGTGACAATGTTAAGTGCCTGCTGGGCACATTTTAAGTGTCTTGAAAGTAGTGTGTCCAACCTGACATTTAGAGGGTTGCAGCTTAGAAAGGTTGAGAACTGCTGCCAAGGACATTTAAACCATATATAATCTGATCAGTGATTACCCAATGTTTGGACAGCAATAATCCAGCAAGAGTCCAGTTATCTCACAGTCTTAATCTTCAGATCCACTGATTATTCCATGGTGGTGAATACAGGGTAGATCTTCTCTCCGTCTGCAAAGTTCATATGCTTGAAAGTGTAAATGTGTTCTTTGGTCTCAAGGTTAAAAAAAATGACCCACTTCTCATCCACATCAACACAGACCCCCAGCACCCGGGGCACAGAGTTGAGTGGCAGGCGCCTGCTGGGCTCCTCCAGAGCTGTGAAGGACTGTCTGAAGTGATAGAGACACCAGTAACCACGAGCAGGAGAGAAGCTGAACCTCCCTTTCCTCTCAGCCGACTCTCTGGTGACCCCAGTAGTGAACTCTCTGTTGACCTGCACCTCCCAGTAGTGCCGTCCAGAGCTGAAGCCTTCTGTGGTCAGGATGCACTTGTACTTGTCAAGTCTGTATGCCCTGTGATTGATGGGTTGCACTCGTTTGCCGTCGATAGACAGAAGGAGTGACCGGTGAGCTGTATCAGGACCCAGCACCATATCAGCTAGAAAGAGAAAGATAAACAGGATGTGACGTGATGTGGGATTTCACTGCCCTGAACGCACTGAAGAAACAACCTGTCGTAGTATTCAGTAGTGCTATGCACCTTATATGTACACCTCATGATGTTCATTTACAGTGAAGTACCAATGTTAAGTTGTCATCTTTGTTGTTGAGATGAATGATTATGTAATTGATCTGTTACCAGAAAGTTGAACCCACATGAGAGAAATGCTTTAGTTAGAGGATATTATTTATAGCCTACACCAGACTCACCTGCTACAGGTGTCTCCCCTTTCCAGACCCTCAGTGCAGCATTCTCTTTCCCCAGGGTCTGGATCTCATGCTCCAGTATCTGGTTTTCATCCCATTCCTCCTTGATTATTTTCTTCAGCTGAGCATTCTTCTGGTGTATACTGGGGATTTTGCTGACCTCCACCAGTAGGTGTCTCTGCAATGCCTCCACTGTGTAGTGATCCCTGATGTGTTTCTTGCAGAAGGAGGCGAGGCAGGTCATACAGGACTTGTACGCTCTTAACTTCCTTCCTTTACACAGATCACAGGCCACGTCTCCAGCCTCAGCGTAGCGAGGGCTCAGCCTGTGTTCTTGTAAAGGTTCATGTGACCGGTCAGTCTTCATAGATATACTTCTCAGTATAGTTGAAGCAAATCCAGACAGCAGACTAAAAGACAAAAGACATTGACTATATTATGGTAAACTGATCCATAACATTGATTTAATTTTTCACCATTTGTAATGAAGCAACATTGTTGATCTTATTTGCAAAACCCAGGAGAAGCGTCCCGCAGCCATACTGTTGACATTCCTTCAGTATAATATGTATGAGCAGTCAGTGCTGGTGTGGAGTCTAATCATACCTGTTTTTACTTCCCTTGGTTTCCTTTGATATTATTGGATGAATCATACTTAATATTAGAGCAATCAATCCATCAATCAACAACTCTGGGAGGAACCTCAAAAGACATTATTCAGTGACAGGTTTATGGTAACTATAATGGCTTACATGATAATAAAGAACCGCTAACTTGCTCACTCTGCCCAAGGATGGGGATGTGAGGCTGGGCTTCCAAATCAAGATATCAAGAAAAATTCAGTTTGATCGGAGGTGTTCACACCTATCAAAATCAATAAGCTATCTTTGATTCCCAATTGTGCGTTATTACCTGCAATAGCATATTCAGACATCTGTAATTACATAAAATACAGCATCACAGGAGATGAAGGCATACAAACCACTATGTAATCATATAATTCATGTTATTTGGTCTGTGGAAGAGTCAGCAATATTCTGTCTCCTGCACCCTCCACCACACCATCAAACATCACCGTGACTGCAAAAGTGAGTAACAATTAATAGCTACATATTGATGTTCGATGGGATTAATCAGGGTTAAATGTTAGCTTAAGTTATGTGAGCCACACTGACATCCTGGTGTTCTCTGAAGTGTATTCATTGTCTAGGTAAAGAGATCAATGTGAGATGTTAATTATGAACAGTTAAACACTCAAATATGATCTGTGCTGGGTGTGAGCTATCTGCATAGATTTTTAGTAATTTCTTTTCTATCCTTCTGGCTTATATAGAAGCAACAACTAAACGACTGCAAAAAAAAGTTTCAGTCTCCATTTCCCAAACGCTTTAGCCGAGCGCGCTAACGTTACTCCTCCTAATAAACAGACACACGTTCAGCTCCGCCTCCTCATTATTCACCACCATCACTGTAATATTTCATCATCAACATTAACACACGAAGGTGATCAGAGGGGCGGTGGAGATCGAGTCTGCAGCGTCTGAGATCTTTAAAACGCAGAGTTAGAAAAGAAAATCATCTCACAGTGAAAGCAGCGTTTTACAGTAGAATAAATGGAGCTCATTATGCTGGTAGTGAACTATGCGGCTGACACAGCTGCCTAAAAACCATAGAAACGGACCTTAAACAGAAGTGAGGACCCTGTTGGGGTTCATCCTAAAGTTAGGACAGGATTTAGGAGGTTCAGTCTAGTTAGGATGTTTGTGTGATGCTGTTTTCTTATCTGGAGTTCATGATGAGATTATGAAGATAGGAACTGTTAGATGTTAGACTGTTAGGAACTGGAATAGATACTGTCCTGAATTCAGTCTGTACTGAAGTCATCATGGAGACTAAACTGATGAGATTTGAGAGTTAAGATGGTTCTGTAATACGGCTCCTGGAGGTTTGTGCTGCTTGGTTTGGACAAGTGGTCAAACGATTGTTCTCAGATTCTCCTATAGCTCAATAAAAATATAAAAACATTTGACTTTTAATAGGAGAGTTTCTCAATAACAGGATTTGGGTACTTTGTACTTCGCAGGCTGCTCAGCACAGCACACCAGTGTGTTTTTACAGACATTTCAATACTCGATTTTTCCATCCTGTGTTTCTGTGATGTGGCTCTGACTGAAGTCTGGGATTCTGGGAGATCGAGTCCGTTTCTTCCGCTTCGCTTGTGACAGTCCAGTATGCTCTCCACAAACATAAGGGCAAAAAATAGAGTGATGTTTATTCTCAGATGTTACAAGTATAAACATATACATATCTAGAAAATCACATGGCCTTGTGTTTGTGTTCAATGTTATGGATGTAAATTCATGAGAATAATACATGCGAATCATTAAGAGTGCTGAGGTTTACCTTTTGTTCTCCAGGTGTTTCCTTTCTTTAAAGTTATTCAGTATCTCCATGGAGTCATCACTCTGCACAGACGTACAGCTGGGCGAAACTGGCCTGTGCACCTTTTTACTTCAACAGAAAACAGTGTTTGTGAAATAAAAGAAACAAAGGGACTGTTCAGAAGCAGCAAGTCTGTTATTACTGCTGGGTTTAAACAGGATTGTGTGTCACCAATGACTATTTTAAGAGTGACTATGTATGCTTGACCTCTTCTTCTTAGAGATCCTCCAATAAATTTAAATCATAAAATGTATTTTTTTCTGTTCCTACCTTTTATTGTTCAGGGGTGCCATTCCTTTAAGTTCAGTCACCTAACCAGCCACTCGCTTCACACTCACAGCAGGGCGACCATTGTCGGTCCAATATTGAGCTGTAGGAGAAATATTTAAGAGTTATTATGGGGAACCTTTCATTGTTCCTTGCAGTTTAATCAGGCTTTGAATTTCGTAAACTGAATGGGACGGACCAAAGCTCTGTCCGGTGTTTATAACTAACGACAATAACTTATTTGCATGCAGTAAACAATACAGGACAATACAATACAGCACATCTGATAAACATATGATATTACATTATAGAATTCTGCTCTGGATTTAATGGGCAGAGTTAAAGAGAGTTGGGAGTCATAAATGGAGATAAAGATTTTTCAAAACCTTTCTGAAGTGAAAGTGTCATTTATTTTGTTCACATTACTGTTTTGCTATATTTTTTCAGCTAAAATTCTGATACCCCTACTCTATGGAATCCTGAAAATGATGTGATTCTAGAGTGAGTTGGGAAAAAGTTTCCTAAAGTCTAGAAAACAGTGGATAGAATAATTTGAAACTACTTTTACTGAGACTTTTATTTATCAATGTCACACTTTTCCTATCTTGTCAATTCTAGCTAATGTTTAATGTTTAATCACTAATGCCAGGGGTTCCTAACCTTTTTCACCTTACAGCCCACAAAAATGACCGCAAAGAGGCCCACAAGAACATTTAACCGACAAGGGCCCAGTTTCATAAGCTTCGTAGCATTAAGATCATCTCAACTGGGAGAGACTGCATTTAATGTGATGCACCACTTAACAGCAACTTAGCACACAGATTGCTGTTGGCAAACCTAGATCTGACCGTTTTTCTGACTCGCTTATTGAGATTGCTGATGTTTGGCAGCCGCTGTCAAATAGGTTTAAATAAATACTGATTGTATTTAGTCTTCAGCTGACAGCGCAAATTATTTGGCTTCAAAGCTTTATTTGACTAGACTTCTGAGCGCAAAGCAGAGAGCGGTCATTACACGTTTTCATTTCCCGCTCATGGGAAGCCCAGCGCTAAGTGCTCACTGCTGCATTTTCTCTGTTTTTGGTTTATGCTGGATTTTCTTGTTTTTCTAGTCTGAGATATGGTGACCGCTTCACTTGCAAAGGGCCAAGCCTTGGGCCATTAATCCATGATGGAAAAATGTCCACATGATCGTGAATCATTTGCCCTGAGTATATACAGAGAACTAGCAGGTATTTTGCCAGAACAATATAAATGATAATTATTTGCAAAAAATAAATCATCACAACAATATTTGTAATATATACGATTTAACTAAATATAATGTTTATATTGCAATTAATTTTTGCAGTTAACAGTCAACACCCTCACCACTTACATGAAATCTCAAGTCACTTATAATTTACTGAAGGAATCTGTGGCAAAACAAACTATTTTTGAAACAGGGGGTTTCAATGCTTTCTGTATTAAAGCATTGCTATGAAAAGATATGCATGCATGGCACATTAATAATTTTATGACTGCATATTTACATACATTAAAATATTTACACATGCAATTTTATCATCTTAAAAGCATCCTTAAAGAGATTTTACTACCGTACACCACTATTGTCATCGCTGAGACGAAGACCTTGTTGTTGCTTTGGAGCATTGAGAAGCAGAGACACACTAGACCAACCACTATCTAACGATAAACACTCTAAAGGTAACAGATATTAAATCTACTGTCATGCTTTATTTCATGGTCCTCTACAGATACTTTAACAAGTAACAAATCTTCTGGTGATAGTAGATTTTCAACAAGGTCAAGGTTTAGGTTTAGGAGTAGGTATAGGTTTTGTATTGAAGTTAAGGTTAGGATTAGGTTTAGGGTTTGATTTAATCAAATATTTCACACTCAACTTCAAGTTCAGATGCATTTAATAGACATTTAGTTGAACGTTAGTCAAAGACAGACTGAGCATCTTCAAAGCATCTAGAGTGGACTATCAAAATAAAGTGTTACTATCTATTGCTCTTACCATGTTCAGGTCCAGTGTGTCTTTATGATCAATCCTGGTTGTTTTAATCACTCTACAGGCTTGGTTTAGTCCTTCATCAGCCACATTTGTCTCCTGAAACTGGAGGAGGCTGAAGTTTGTCCTACTGAATGTGACTTTTGAAGTCAGAGAAGAAAACAGGAAGCCCTTATAGGAAAGTGTATGTTTACATGCAACACTGCCTCATCACTGGATCACTGACACTGGCACAACAAAACGAAAGAAATCCTTGAAAACTGAAACTGTCCTTCAGAGTGAGAAGCATTTACTGAAAGTCCAAGGGTCACTGTATAACTTTGGGTAAAACCACATGCTTGTATGACTAAACTACAATATATCCTTTTTTCTTTGCAGATTTGTTAAAAAGCTGGCTCTGTAGTGGGTGATTAATGGTCAGTGTGACCCTAATATCACTGATCAAAATTTGAATACTTTAAATATAAAGTATTAAATATACACTCGTCTAACGTTGATGGAAATGTAATTGCAAAGACATCATCATGTGCTGGCTAAGCTTTTAACCTGTGTCCTAAGTAAAACGGGTAGCGTTGGAGTGTTGGAGATGCTTCCATATAAGGCTCGGAAATAGGAAACCTAATTCTGGCCAGTTGACATCAAAAACTGTGTCACGCTTGGTCACTGTTTGCAGGGACTTTCCTTTCTGTTTTGCTGAGCAGGAGGTCGTGTTCAAACCTGGGTGAGATTATAAATTTTGTGTCTAATGTTCCTCATATAAGCCGTAAAATAGTAACTATCAGCCAGGTTTGGGATAGCTACTGAAAAATTTGTAGTTAGCTACTTTGTAGCTACTTTTCCAAAATTTGTAGCTGCTACAATTTAGCTACTTTTCCAGAAAAAGTAGTGGCTACTTTTTAGCTACTTTCAAAGCGCGATTGTCTGAATGTTTGTGAATCTCCACCTGACACACCAAACAAGCCCAGCTGACAGTGTGAACAAGACACTGCATTTAATCATGTGACAAACATACAATTGAAAAGCTGCAAATATACAAAAAAAAAAAAAAAACAAAAAAAAACACCACACACAAAGTAAGTTTAAATGTAAACAATCAAACTTGCACAACCAAAGGTGTGATATTCAACAAAAATTTAGACTGAAGGCAAAGTCAGTCATTCCAGGTTTTTCCTAACAAAAATCAACAAAGATAACTGAATACAAACCAAACAATTTTATGCAGAGCATTGTCCACTGCTGAAATAAAACTGCTCCAATATAAACATTGGTATGATCTGAACAGGCACGACATTTAGAGTCCTTTAAACTTCAGCGACACTTCAGCCTTAGAATCCTCATCAGTGACTCTGGCTCTGTTTGGGGTGAATCAGGCCTGAATAATCTCTCCACTGCTACAGAGCTGCTGCGGCTCCACAGCAGAACTAGATTTTAAGGAAAAATATCATAAAGTAATCCTCCTTTACTGTAAAATCATTATAACAGTTCAAACTTTTTTTTTGTTTGTTTTTAAACAATAAATGGTCTTAAACACTGGAATTAATGCAAAACTGCTAATTCACCCTGATGCGCAGAGTGCTGGTCACACAGCAACACAGATAACGAAACAGCAAAGAGAGAGATTTAGGACGAACACTGATAATTTGGAGATTAATGGACTTATTTGCATTTATAAGCGCTCAGCTGGTTTCCTGATACGTTTAATCTGCAACAACTCAAAGCTGAATGGGACAGTTCAAACAAGAAGCTGGAGAATGAGAAGCGACTTCAGCCGTGTAAAAAGTCAAACAAACATCGAGAGACAATTTACAAGAAACTCACAGAAGTTTCCTGAGATGCGAGAAAAGCGGCTACAGCTGAGCTAAAAGGTTGAAGCAGAGCAAAGTAAGTCTGAGTTTTCGTTTATTTAATTTTTAGCCTGTATCAGCACATTAGGACATACTGAGACTTACAGCCAAGATGGTGAAATGGACATAAAATGTTGTGGCTCCGAAGGTGGTTTCATTTTTGTTGAAAGGACAAAATGGCTCTTCTTAACATTTGGGTTGCGACCCCTGATCTAAGCCTACTAGTAAGGGGTGATCAGTGCGTGCCTGTTTGCTTGAGCTGTCCGCAGCTCAGTCAGGACTGCACAGACGCCACCAGCCCAGTTAATGACCACGTTCTGTGGTTCAGATTTTGGGCGGATTGACTGAAGTCTGTAGTGAAATTGCTGTTAGCTACATTTCATAAAACCGTAGCAGCTACAGCTATTAGCTATAAAATATTGTAGTTAGCTACAACAAGTAGCGGGCTACTCCTCCATCCCTGCTAACAGCCAATACTGTCACTATTGAGCTGAGACTTTTGTTCTGTCACTTTATCACAGAACACAACAGACCTTCTCTCTGATTGCATTTGATAGTGTTTGTGTATTTAACTGTGTGAGACTGTTTAACTGTGTTATGGAACCTCGCTGGTGACACCCTCTGTAAATAAAAATAATACATGGCCACACCTTAGTAAGGCGTGGGAAAGAGATCCTAATGCATGGCCATAAGTTAGTAAGGCATGATCTCTTTCCCACACCTTACTAAGTCGTGGCCAGGCCATGATTTAATACTCATTCCCAAGCCTTAGTAAGGCCATGCATTATTTTTTATTTATATGGGATGTTCACCAGCGGGACTCTGTACTGTGTAACTTTCAAAATTAAAAAGTAAAACTTCTAATCCTGTATGAAGTAATTAGTAAGTTTACTAGAGAAATATATCACAGTAAAGAAATAAAGTGTGATGAACTGCTGTTGCTGTTAAAGATGTGAATTTCAGAAATGCTCCATATGGGTATCTGTGAATTTGTACAGTTTCAAAGCTGTGAATTTAAGGGTTACTGTATCTAGAGGTTGACACAGCGGCAAATCCTTGTGACTCAACTTTATAAGCAGGACTTTAATGTCAATTTAATTCTGGACTATGTTGTTCTGTTTTTGGATGCTCCTTCACACCAGCCATGTACTTACTTTCAATAAATGTACTGACTTCCAAAAACACCTGTACCATAACATGACCAAATGATAGCCTAGCGATATGTAGCTACAGTCTGGCAATGATAGCTGACGTTGGTTAGAACCAGAAAAAAAAGCCAACATCATTCACTGAGGAGAAAAGAAAAAAACAGCCTTAGTCACTCAAGCATCCTCAATATCCAACACTAAAACCTAACAGTTATACCCCCAATATTAAGGCAATGTATTATTGGATAATAATGCACACCAAATATTCCTGATCTTTGGAATATGTTGTAGATATTTTAGTGAATTCTGGGATGGATACTTTTTACAACCACCACACTGTAAATCACACAGTAAAATCTTAAGAATAACACTAATGTAAGTAGAAAGTATGTTGTGAAATTGTAATTTATTTCTACTAAATTTACAGCAATCATTTATAGTTTGTACGGTTAAGTTGAATATATAGACTCTGGACCACAGTTAGGATGTATTTCAAATCAGTGAGCTTATTAACTTGGGCTGGCCAAGTTGTACCTTATTCTGTCAACTCTGTCAGGTGGGTGGATCTTTAAACACTAGCAATGTTTGATTGTACACTGACAAAAAAAATAAAAACACGTCTCTTTTAAAGTTATATCACAGTCGATAAATCTATTTTTTCCCTGTTGAGATTGTTGTAAGCTTAAATTAAGATTTATTTCTTAAATTTTCTTGTTTTAAGTAATTTTTTAAAGTAAAATTCTCACTATATTGGCAGATAATTTTGCTTGTTTTAGTAAAATGAGCTTAAAACCCACAAAAAAAAAATCTGCCAGTACAGCGAGAGAATTTTACTTATAAAAATTACTGAAAACAAGTAAAAAAGTGTCTAGAAATAAGCTGGATGATTTTATAATAAGTGCACAACCATCTCAAAATGGGAAATATATATTGACTAGATTTAAGATCATTTCACTTCACAAGATATTTTTTGCCAGTGTAAGCCAATTTTCCGTTAGAAATATTACATTTTACCTTGAATTCCACTGTGTCTACAGTAAAATACAGGTGGATTACTGATGCGTGCATTGTGGAAGCATGTATTCAGACAGACTCTAGACACTGACAGAAACCCTTACGCAGATTCGGGAAAACTTGAACATTTCTGTGTGAAAATCAAGTTCAAAGCTCTGGAGTTGATTTTGAATTCCAGAATGCCTGGAACCAGGGAAATCAGCTCTTTTTTGGATCAACTCTGTGCTCCATGTTTTACAATGCTATGCCTTCAGTGATATTTGCTAAGACAAACATTAGAATTTTTAAAATTATGATCACATTCTATGGCTCTCCTGTCGCAACCAAGAGCTCTCCTTTGCCCAGGGTCTGGACATTTATAAGTAACTCTAATATTATTTATTCTATTTCCCTAATAACTGTAATCTAAAGTCTTCAAAAAGAATCATAAGAATCAAAGAATATCAACCAAAATGAAAAAAGGTAAAAAGGAATGAAAAAGACTTCAGCCGCTGAGTTCTTGTGGAAGGAAGGAAAAGGCCTTCGCTTTATTGAGCCTCAAATGGCAAGATGGTTCCAGGTCAACCACAATGCGAATATCCCTTTTTATTCCCCTCTGGGGTGATGAGGTAATCACCCCACCCCTTTTACACAATTCCGTACCATTTTAGTCCCCATCATATCCAAGCCTTACACCTTTTTTGGTAACCTTTAAATCCAAACGCGTATAATGACTCTTACCAGATTGTTCTCTCCTTACAGGGCCCTCTTACACAGCTCTCCATAGGGCATCTCACTCAACTCTCCATATACGTACAAGAGTGAACCAAGTATAACTTATGGTCATCTGGTCCAGCAACTCTTCCCCCGTTAGAGTCTACTGCACACAGTCCATAGTCTGCTTCCCTATATTACCTTATTAGGAGAGCTCCAAGCTCTCTAGTCATCCAATGTTTAGTTTATTGATTACTAATCAGGGAATGTTTTATTCAATCTTTCCCATCACTCCTCAAAAACGACCTACTGATTAATCTGAACACTCAAACTTTCCTACTTCTGCTCAGCGCTCCAGCTTTACGGATTACAAACACTCTGGAGCGGCAGCGATGGATTACTCAACTGCAAGACAAGGACAGC